TACTTAGTATCTTCACTGCTTCTATCCCAGTAAGTGCATTTTTTCTGATATTAAATCGGTAAAATATAAATCATATACAATACAACATATGATTGAGAATTTTTAATAAAACTAAATTTTTTTATTGTTGTTGACACCTTTTTGAACCATCTACTTCGTGATTAGAATCAGAATGATCATTATCGGCTAAGAGCTTACGTTTAACTAATTGTGTACTTGCTTCGTGAAAACTGTCGTAATGTTTATTGATCCGACGATATCCATTGATAATCGTAGAATCCTAAAATATTTCGCGAGGGATAAGCTTATTATATAACTACCAAAATAAAAAACTCTAACTTCAACAATTTCCAGTTCTTTCTTTACACTCGCTTTTTTGGCGAGCAATTTGGTTGCGTTTCTAGTTTCTTTTTTTTTGACTGTCGCGCCTGGGATTAGTCAAGATTGTAGTTTAGTTGCTAAATGCAAAAAACAACACACATGACAAAGTACAATTATAGATAATAAACAGCCTGGAATGTTATACTTTAGTTAGATGTAGACGCACCTCATCACCACGAAAAGCATTTCGTTCACGAGCACGCAGGCTTTATAAAGTATTAACAGACACAATATCCCTTAGGAAGAGACGTTCTTGACTCAACGAGTACTTCCCACCCGAGCACACAGCTCACTCACCAATAAGCATACAGCTATAGATATTTAGTTCCCAGGCTGTTTCTTATTAGATGCATTGCCTTCAGTTGGCTTTCCAGTTGTATAAGACGTAGCTGAGCAGAGTGTTCGTTCGCAAACAATTTTCGTAAAACTCCAATCTCCATTTTAAAAGAATGATGTACACGATCTTTGGGAACATCACGTAAATGATCGGAAAACTCGTTAAGGCTACATTACTATTTACTAAAAAAATCAATTAACTGATACCTGATCTATAAATTGGACACGTTACTTCTCTAGTACCGTAATTCACTGGCAAAAGTATCCCCTAGGGTAAAGTACCCCCTGTGAAATGTATCCGGGTATAGCTCACAGAAAATAACATTGGCGAGAAAAAAAGCAAAAGGTCAAGTTTACGACTTATTACAGCGAGAAAACTTATGTAAGCAAACTAGAGCTATAAAAATATTTAGCTTATTCAAAAAAATAGGAATAGATAAGATTCGTTATATTAAAACCTATAGCGCGAATTCTATTTCAAAATTTACCAACGAAGAACTTCAAAAGGTTATCGACAATTTTCCTAGCAATTATGTTAATTCCACAGAAATTTCGACGACCTCGGGTCTTCAAAATCACGTGCCTGAAGCAAAGGCAAACGTTCCAACAACCTCTAATTCGGAAGATAAGATAAGTGAGGAAATCTCACGCAGTGAGGATGCTATTGCATCTAAATCTTTATCGAAAACCGAGGTAAGTATATCACTGAATATAATGTTTCCGATTCATCTACTTCGAAGCCATCCCAAAAAATGAATCAATTTGTGACCATGCTTATTTCCGTAATAAGCATTAGAGCGATATCCTAATTTATATAAAGAATTTAGTTGGCAAAATATTGATTACTACAGACTGACGATTACTTCCTATATGCTCATTAGATCATGATGATGAGGAAGAGAATATAAAAATGGAACTTATTATATTAAATGTGATTTATAATTTATTAGTATGCAATAATGTGAAATGTATTTAAATTAATGTTTTTTGTTATGTGATACCATCTAAATCGAATTGATAAGTGGTCATCACGAAATATTTTTTTATTACCTCATAAATTTTTTTTTGCTAGAGGCTCATAAGTATCATACATAAGAATTCGCTTTATACTATCTAAAGTTCCACACCCACGATGCAATGAAATGTATTTAAGATTTGCACATATATTTGGATGGGTCTTATAAAAACGTTGGGGCAATATGATTGCATGTCTACCTGATCTAAAGAAAGGTATGATTCTTAGTTGAGTTGTTAGAAGTTCGCCGGCAAGATCATCAAAAACTGTAACAATAGATCGACCTGTTCTTTTAAAAGATGAAATATCAGGTAACTCTTCAGGAATGATTAGCTCATACCATGGGGCTCGCTTATCTATAGCTATAAATTCATAAAAACATTGTACTGTTCCCCACAACTCTTCATCTTGGTGTTGAGCAACAACAATTAAATCATCACATGGGATGTACCTTTCACCAAAATTTCCGCCTTTTGGTATTTTTTTTTGACCACGTTTTTCACCAAACATCCACAGATATATTTTTGGATGGATGTTTAAGAACAAATGGGTTCTGTTTTTTTTGAAGGTATAGGTTCATCTACTTTATGTAAATTGTAATTTTGCATAAAGTAATACTCCATAGTATATTGAAAATCTCATGGAGGAAAATGCCTTTCCAACGAATATATTAACTGCGAAATTCCAATTCTTTTGGGAATGCAATAAAAATCATCAATGGAATTGTTCATTTCGATCTATCAAAAATCGCCATTCATGATGTCCTTATTACACAAATAGAAAACTCGATATTTCAGTGGCAAAAGAATTAGCATGCGCTAAAAATGTGTATTTCTGAGAATTATATTAATAATAGCTCTCTCTTATGGGAATGTAAAAATAATCATCAATTTCGCCTATCTCTTTCAGATGTCGAGTGCATGAAACTTGGACTTGAATTTGCTCAGAATCTCGCAAATAAAAGGGGTGGGATGTGTCTTTCCAGTTCTTATCATAACAGACGTACATCACTCTCTTGGAGATGTTCTGAAGGGCATTTGTGACTTGCTCAGATTGATTCAATAGCAAAATCTATTGCATATAGCCGAGGTGGAGAATGTTTATCAGATTCATATATTAATTAATTGCATAAGTCAGTTACTCTGGAGATGTAATAAAAACCATCAATGGTATGTTACCCTTTCTCATATAAAACATGACAATACAGGGTGTCCATATTACTCAAAATTCAAACGTGAAAATTTGTGTCGGGAGATTGTGTCAAAATATCTTGGACCACCATCTAAGATACGTCAGCCTATTTTTCTCAAAACACTCGAACACTCAAATAAATTATAT